TCGATGAGACTGTCTACACTAGACGACATACCGGACTAACAGAAAGAAGCGAACTAGAAGGGAAAAGGGAGCTCGGGAGGACTCACCGAGGAAACGCAACCGGACTGGAAGAACAGAACGAACTGGAGGACCCGAGCTAAGAAACCCTTGGTGCGAGAGCAAACGCTAACAATGAAAGCTTTGTGGCGAAGAAAATGGCCTGGGGACCCCCTATTTATAGCCGCAACCGTGGGTTCTTCGAGGCGAAAACGATTTAGCGCGTTTTCGACGTCCGCAAAGTCCAAGTCGCGTGAAGTCCGCGCGTAACCCGGACGCGACTCGAATCCCTTTTTGGTCAAGCTAGGCGCTAGACCGGTACAGCTGGATGGAATGCGCGACAACGCAACACTAAACACCGACGCCATATCCACCCGGCGCGTCATGACCTCCCCGCGCTGGGTCACCGCCGCCAGCGCAGGGAGTGGGGGGCAATTGATGGAGGGAGATTTGGCCCGACCTCGTAGCTCAGGTACACGTAGGCATGACCTAGCTCAAATAGTGACTCAACATGACAGCACAACGGACGTAAGCACAACTCGGTGGGGAGGTCCCACCGAGTTCAGCACGGCAGCTCGGCAGGTAAACTACTTGCCCGCACCTCCTCCCCGGGGTTAAGGCACTTCGGGGGGTCCCGAGTTCGGGGCACCCTGACCCCTTTTGAGACCCGAGCTCCTCCCAATGGACCTCGGGCCACTCCCAAGCAAGAATGCACCGATTCTTCTTCGGACGCTCTGAGGCACAAAGACCTCGGGTCGGCTAGCTCGGCACAACCGGCTGCAGGCAGCCCGTCACTCAAAGGACAGCCCAGCTCAGGGAAATTCGCAGGAGAACAACTCGGTATACCATAGGAGGGCTTCTAGCCCGACCGCCGTACCCGACAAACCTGCGAATTGCAGGCATGTCCCCTCGCCGCGCTTGCCACCTTTCGAAAGGCGTCCCACACCTAATAGACACGTACCCTTCTCGACGGCCCCGCGCGTGCCACCTCAGCCCTGCCTGTAACGGCTGTGGCAGACTGACAGTGGCGGTTATATCTGCCCTGTCAGAAGTCAGAGGGCCTGGAGCAACGGAATTCAGTTATAAGGAGCTTATCCTCAAGGAACAAGGCATCTGGAATAGCTAGCGCAACCTACACTCTTAGTGTTCACTCTCTTTTAGCTTCTTGCACACAGTACTAACTTAAGCATCGGAGCATTCCCGCCGAGAAATCCCCCGGGAGTTCTTCCTCCTTCTTCTCGTTTCAGGTACATCTCAGGAGCCACGCGAGCGTCAGCTAGGAGTGACCGGATTGTGCTACATCAAAACCGGTCAGGGGTTTGGTTACCGGTTCGAACGGTCCGACCGTTCGATCTGAATGGCCGGCCCGTTCTAACAAAAAAAAATTAAAAATTAAAAAACAGTTAAAACTATTCAAATGATTCAAACGATTAACCAGCCAGTTCAGCGGTTTATTGACCAAAATCAACGATTTTGAAAGAAAAAATGGTTTTAAAAAAAAAATAGAATCAGTCAAATAACCGGTTCCCAGTTTTTCCGGTCTGATCCGATTTTGAAAACAGTGATTTGAAATTAGAATTGGTCAAAACCCTTTTCATATCATATATTTTCTGCATCATAGATTTTCTTTGGAAATATATCAGAGAAGCATATTTTAGAAGAAGCGAAGGATTTGGAGATATGCGACAAATCCACAATGTCATCATGGAAGCCTTTGAGATTTGGAAGTCTTGGTTTTGTAAATCCCCAATGTCCAGATATCTCAAAATATATAATCTTTTCTGTGTTCCAAAACTAATCGAATCCAACTCATTGTTTAACTCAGTTTGAGTTTTTGTTTTTTTTTTTTTTTTTGCCTAATCAAACAAAGATATTCATTAAAATAAAAACCAGCAGATTCACGAATGAAATCTGAGATGTCCAGATATTCATTAAACTTTTAGATGAGCAAATTATATTAAAGAAAGAAACAAATACTGCAATCTCAGATTTCTTCAGGAATGAAATCTGAGACTTTGACTTTCTATGCCAAAAGGAGACCTTGCCTAATACTATAGCTTCTGCTTGGATTGCCATTTGCCTGTAGTTGAGTTCATACGATTAGTAATAAGGTTTTTAAAACAGAACCGGATAATGAATTGTTCAGGTGTCTAGTTTTTGGGTCAAACAGTCTGATCGTTCGATTCGTTCTGATAAACAAATAAAAAGAATGGCTAGAAACTGTTAAATGGTTCAAGCAGTTTAAATGATTTAACCACATGGATCAATGATTTATTGATCAAATTAACGGTTTTTGACCAAAAAATAATTTTGAAGTAAAACAAAACCGGTAACCAGTTTCCAATTTTTTCAATCCAACCGTCCAATCTGATTCGGTTCCATGATTAGCAATAACACCTCGCGGTAGATGATCCCATTCATTCTCTCAGAACGCCATTCGCACTCTAAACAAACCCCAGCCAGGGCTTGGGCATCTCAATACTCAATGGCAATGTCTCGCTTTTCAGGTCGCCAGACCTTTTATGTGGGTGCAGTTTTAAATTCAAATGTGGGAAACTTCGGAAAATTAATATCATGCAGAGAATAATCCAGTAATAAAGGATGACATGGGGGATTACATGTTCAATCCAGAGACTAGAGGTTCCAATAATTTACTCGTAATCCCTCCACATGTGGAGATTGCCTATGCAAGAAACCGTATTCTTGTAATTTACCCGAATATGCTACCTTTTTTTTTTGGACTGGACAATCCGATCCAGTCTAATGTGTGTTCATTACAAATTGACCAGATATTTTGGACTGATCCAATTTAATGTCTGGACCCTTCAATTTCTTCAAATTTGTTTTAATTTTGATTAATTCTAATGTAAATCTAGTCCATTGATACCTATATTCTTATCTTCTATTAATAGATTAGATATTGGCTTCATTCAATCCAATCTAATATAAATTTATTATGAATGTACTAAGTACAATCCAATTCAATAAATACTTTTAACCATTAAGTCTAGAGTTCAATATATCTTATTGGTCCTTTCAATCCATCCAAATTGATTTTAATTTGAACGGATCCAATCCAAACCCGTAACTCGTAAAACTGAGCCCCTCGCCCATGCCTGCACCGTATTAACTCTATGGTTCGTGATGCTGTAATGCTCGTCGTCTAAGATCTGGCTGTGGCTGGCGCCTGGCTGGGCCTATTTGCGTTTGAGCAGGCCAGGTTCCAGTTTCAGCCCAATCTTCCGATCCAAAGTCACTCAACATTGAAAATGGGCTTCAGACCTAAATCTGGCATTTTTTATTTGTGAACTCTTCTTACCTTTTTCAGTATGTACACGCGTCAAGGATCCTGCCTTTGTTTAAAGAATGGCGCGTTTGATGGTTGGTCAAGATCACAGTTGTCAGAACATTTTCTTTTTATTTTTCTTCTTTTATTCCTTATTCTCCAACATTTTTATAGTTGGAAATGGAATGGACCAATACTTTATTTATTTATTTATCTACCAAATAAATACTTTATTTATTTATTTATATCAAATTCAACCAATACTTTATTCTGTACACTCCCAGTTCCCTGTTCACGGACTCCAAAGAAAATTGAAACGTGGCTAATTAATAGTGCACCTCTCTCTCTCTCTCTCTAACCTCTGCTGCTCCGCAGTCTCTTATCAGTTATCACTACCAAACAAACCTAGCATAAAAAGCAATTACTCTCTCTCTGGAAAAATCGCTGCTCCGTATGCAAATTGCAAACGACGAAGGAAGGGATCTTCTCGTATCCAATGACGGAAGTTCAAAGCGAAAATACCTCAAGCCTAGCTGTGGTACTGATTTGAACCATTCTCTACATTTTGTAGTCATGTTAATTCTGAATTTCATAATTCCATGTTAGGTCTAGATATATTGTGATAGATCTGAGCTTGGTTTCTATCTCTGACATTGCAATTCGCGTGCTTCTGATCTTTTTTTTATTTAACTGTCGGTTCTTCCGATTTTTGCTCCTTTAGATTCGATTTTTATGAATTGAGTTGTGATTCTAGTCGGATGTGGAAATATCGATTGAGTAGAGGCATCATTCAGGAAATTCTTTGTCCTGTTGAAAATTTGAGCGAGATGGATAACATTTGTTTCATTTTTTTTCTTGTTTTTTCCATCATATTTTGTTATAATTTCTATGTTTGATAATGTTAGCGAATGTTGTTTTAACAGCTTGGTTTAGTTTTATGCAATGTACTTAGCTTGATCTGTTTCTTTTATAATTTCAGGTTCAATGTATTTAGTTTCAGGAGCTTCTATCATGTTAACTCTGCTGGGCCTGCAATATCTAGTTTGATATATAGAAAATGAGACATACAAACTGGACAAATATTATATTTCATAAAACAACTAATTTGTCTTCGACTTCATGAAGGTTGCACCGTATCTGCATGTAGATTTTACTATAACAATCATAAAATCAAGCCATTTTCTTTTCTGCAAGTTACTAGTGATCCGCATGTTCAGATTTGGAAAGCAACTTCAGAATGTAGAAAATAAGTTTTCTTCTTTCGGCGGGCTGGATACTTTAACTTTCGCACTTGATTTATGCACTTTATTAGTGTTGCAACATTTATCCATCACTTTAGCACTATTCAATCCAAAAGAAACGTTGATGTACAAGGAAACTTTTCGTTAAAAACTTGATTAGCAGATTTTATAGGGCTCAATTAAATTAAGCATTGCTCTTTGGTTTAATCTTGTAACTGTAGGCAGAAATTGGCTGTTCTTCTTTCAAGAAGAACAGATAAGGACCAGTTGACTGAGAATTGTATTGTCTTGTTAATTCGTAGAAATGCTTAGGCTACACTCTACAGTTGTCCATTCCGATATGTTTGTGTTTATAAATTATGATTTCATCACAAATTGGCCCTTGCCTTCGGCCTAAAACCTGGGCATTTTCTGCTAATATCGTATTGCATAAGACATGGTAAATTCAGTCAACAATCTGATTCATTCAGTTTTTCGGTGGTGTTGGCCAAGTTTTTGCATAGGCAGCAAGCCAAAGTCCGTACTTCTTTAATACGTCTTAATCAGCTCACTGGTGCCTTCTTGATAAGGAGAAGAGAGTTTATAAACAGTCAAAAGTTGACAATTTCGTAGGTTCCAGAATGCATTACTAAACTTTTAATAACCATTCAAAGTTATTCATTATGTGAATACCACAATCTTGGTGAATTTGATTTGCTTATGGTATTTTTTAATAGGGAAAATCTATTATGTCGGAAAGTCATGATATCAGAAAGGCTTTGACCAATCACAACCCCCATGAATTTTGATGAAAAACTACCTGATTGGTTACAACCTTAATGATGCTGGTTGATTGGTTCTAAGTTTTTCCAGTATAGGCATCATAGTTGAACCCTTTTTAATATTAATATGAGATGTATCAATGGTTTTGATTCCTAAGTATGAGAAAATCACATGATCCTTATTTAACCCTGCCTTTTTCCTGTGGTTCCATATTCCAAACCCACCCTGCTTTCTAAAATGCTAGTTCACTGAGTTTCTGTATCTACTATAAATTGGTATTTCAGTATTCATGATTAGGTCCAAGTTGCTTTTCTTCAGGAGGTTGTCCATGTTTCTTGTGTGTGTTTCTGATTGTATCCATCAGAAGGTGATATTAACGTGCACAATTAGGATTGTTTCTAATCCATCATATTTTAAAATGTAAGGATCATAATATCATATATTCGTCCTGAATATTATCATGGTCTAGAACTTTTGGAGGGATTCTGGATGATATCATACTCAACTTTCAGAAAGTAAAGCAGAAAAGAAAGAAAAGAATAAGATAAATAAGAGACAGAAGAAGAGAATTGGGAGAGAATTTAGAAGGCCAATTGGGAAAAAGTTAATTTATTCTGTCCCAGTCAGCTTATTCATGTAAATTTCTAAATATATTGCAATGACTCTTATACCCCTCATTAAGCATGGGGCACCTAGGACAAGATAGACTCTTAACTTAATATGAAACATAATTATCAAGGCCTAAATACCCCTGTTATGTAGGCTGTAAGGCTGTTAATACTGGATTTTATTTCTAATATCCAGCTGGTTATGGTGAGAATGCCAATTGCCTACCTAATTGGATTGCTTTCGTATTCAGCAATATATGCTGCAAGAGAAGGTGGAACAATCAAATCAGAGTCAAATCCCTGTTGAAGCAACTGAGGATGAAAAGCTAACAGGTACTGCTGTCATGGAAGCTGTTGATGATATAATTAAGGAAACAGCTGCAGCCAAAGAAAGCAATGAAACTGCCAATCAGGAAGAGTCTGGTGATCCAGAAGTTGAACAGACACCAGAAATAAAGGTAGTCAGTTTCAGTACTTCTTTTGCAAGTGCAAGATTCTCGTGCATGGATTTATTTCCATTTTTTATATGGATATAATTCCACCTCTTCTCATGCTATGGCTTGTTTCCAGCTTGAGACAGCTCCAGCAGATTTCCGTTTCCCAACCACTAATCAGACAAGACACTGCTTCACCCGCTATATTGAATATCACAGGTGAGCAAAACAAGTTACAATGTAATGATTTCTCATTATTGCTTATATTACAGCTTCCTCATCCATAGGCTAGATATTACGTCAGAAAACCTTTTTCTTGAGTAATCTTGAGTTTTATTACAACGGAAGACAATCTATTTAGGTGTACTGCTGCAAAAGGGGAAGGTGCTCCAGAGTGCGATAAGTTTGCAAAATATTATCGTTCCCTTTGCCCTGGTGAATGGGTAAGAACTTCTATGATTTCATCTGGCTGCTAGTGATGCTTCTGATGTTTCTCTATGTTAACCATACATGCAATATTATGCAACATTGTAATTTCTATAGCCATATGGTTGTACCTCTTGCGTGAGCATTTCTAGAATATACTTTAGCATTAATACTTTTTAAAATATGTAAAGTGGCCTGTCTTAACAAATTTTTAAAAAAACTTTGAACCTTTGTACTTTAATTAATTTGAATTAGATGCAAGTATTGAGAAATGACACTTTACTTATAAAAGCATATTAAATAGGATGCCAATATGTGTATCCATGTCTTGGGTCTTCAGAAATGGAGAGTGGTGCCCTCCTCATTTCCCATATCAGGTCCATGTTGGTGCACTTATCTGGACATCGTAGAGTACCAGTCCCTTGCCTTCATAATATTTATAGAAAGTTGAGTATCTAAAATACATGGCCAGATGCAGTATTTTGGAGTAAACCAGTTGGATTATACCTTTTTGTTGTAATAACTAAGCTTTATTAGAATGCACTAACAAATATATATATATATATGAAGATATCTAGAAACATATTTCCCATGCACAATTGTTCCAGACAACTAACAAATGACAGCAATTGTTGTAGCTTTTCTGAAATCAAAGGATAATCCACACTTAAGAAGCTCTTGAAAGAGCTTATGCATACTAATTAGGAGAATAAGGCTAATGTAAGTAATGACCACATTACCACTTTCCAGGTAATTGTCCTAAATATGCCTAGATCATGGACAACAAAAATTTTATGATTAAAAGTCATTTAGGCTCTGTTTGCTTTAGTAAGTTATTTCCCATGTTCTTTTATTTCACAGGTAAATAATCCAATGACCATTTTAGCCATAAAAATTCATTATTAAAAGGGGCATTTTTATCCCATTCAAGTGTTGGCAACTTTCCCCCAGGTGGGAAAGTTATTTACCCACCTGGGAGATGGATACCCGGGCAAGTAAAAATTCCCTAGTCCTCACATAAATCTGAAAAAAAGAACATAGGTTTCTTGGTCAAGGGATTTATTTTCTCCCCTCTCAAAACCGAAAAAACGAATGCCCCCATAAAATGCCAATCAAAACAAACTCATAAATTTCAAATTCAGGCTGGAAGTAATTAGCCAAGTCCTAGATAAACAAACTTTTTCTTTTCCTGGGTAACTGTTGGTTTGGTTGTTATTTATGGATGTATATATTTACCTCTTGAAGATAACCACGTCGTATTGTTTATTGAGACAGATAGACAGATGGAACGAGCAGAGGGAGAATGGAACCTTTCCGGGCCCTTTGTAGAGGTTTCCCATTTGAAAAGCCAATTGTTATGGGATTCAAGTCTTTATTCCCATGTTGCTAGGCGAGGAGATGCGCTTCTTGAAGTAAGAGAGGAGTAATATTAGGAATTTCTATGTCGAACAATTTGAGTTAATAAAAAACAATTTGGCTTGTCTGCTGTTGCAGTAATTTCGGCCTCTACCCAAATACATGAGATGTCTTTCACAAGCAGAGTTGGCACTAAGCCGCCAATCATCGCTTTTGTTTCGACATTATTTCATCTTTTGACAGTTGAATAACAGTACAGAGGCAGTGAATAGAGAGGGAAAAAATTGAATGATAACAATTCTTTCGTGCGACATATTGATGCAGAAATGATTACTGTAGCTTCCAACCGTCAATGTTCTTATACCTCCCTCGGTATAAAAGGAGGGGTTGCTCCTTACCAGATCGAAGGCATTTTTAGTAATTAGCACAGAAAATTCTAATTTCTGATACAAAGGTTGTTCGACCTACGTCCTGTGCCCTAGTTGCAGGGATAGGGAAATGTGAACCATTCCAACAATATAGGCATGGTTAAAAGTATCGTTACGCAGCGGTACTGTGAACCACGCGGAAATATTTTTTTTATTTTTTTCAAATTTTAGTTTTTGGGTAGTTTAATATCCATATTTATCATTAAAAAATAGTGGGTCCCGAAACATTGAGACCCAAAAGATACGATAAGATATACCTGACATGCATCGATTTTTTGAACCTTGAATATATGTATATCCAACTGAAGCTTTCTTTGAATCACCCCCCCCCCCCCCCCCCCACCCCACCCACCACTCTTATTTAGGCTCAGTTTGGAAGGAATACAAATACAAATATGTAGAGTGCAAAACATGTATTTTGTATGTATTTGTACTAGACTTGTTCATGGACCGGGTTTTTGATTTCACTTTACACTATATTAGGCTTGGGTTTTAACTGGCCCATTCAAATTTTGGCAGAAGGGCCTAGCTCATGAACAGGTCCAGTTTGTACTGTACATATATGTATTTGTACTCTTTCCAAACTGAGCTTTAATGATAAATGGTCCTGTCAATGGACTCAATTCGATACTCAAACCAACTTCAATTTGGATTATCCCAGATTTGGATGTTAGAATTTGATGCAATTTTTTCCATCTGATCCTATTAAAATCTGAGCTCAAAAGTTATCGTTTTATATGTATGTAATTATGTATAGATATAGAGATGTTCTATATAATTGTATAAAGTTTATAATTGATTAAATTTAATATTTTATATTTATATACATTTTTATATATTGTAAAATTTAAAATTAATTTTTTTTGTCATTTTAGATGTACCTGGATCTGATCCGATCTTATCCATTTACGTCCTAGTCTTAATCAAATAGAGGATGAATTTGTGTTGTGCTACCTATGAAGGGTTCTCATCATTTAGATTCGTTGTGCCTAACGAGATTTAGTCAATAGTCAACTTGTGCATATCAAGATTGAAAGTATCAATAAGTATCGTATCATATCACTGATATACCAAATACTGAGATTCAGGTCACTGATACACTAAATACATATCAGTTTTCAGGGTCCTATTAATATTTTTAAAAATAATATCCATTCTAATATATCTATGTTTGAACTTTGAATTACCAAAGTGAAAAAAAAGGGGACTTTAGATGGTTGATAACTCTGAATATGAAAAAAATGTGTATCTAACCTTGGGCACAGCCGCACAGGTACTTTTATTAAGTTTCAATGAATACCATAGAGGCCATGAGTATTTAAGACCTTTGGGAGTTGTTTAAATACTAAAGTTACATCTAATACTCTAAATTATTTAGCATATCGGCATGATATGCATTTTGAATGGACAAATCACTTAGATAAAAAATTAATCAAGTTGCAAGAATTCAGCTTAGACATGCTTCAAGGCAAATGATATTCATTTGTAATACAAAGTAAATCAAAATTTATGCACTCCCATGGCTTTACACCAATGCAAATGAAATTTGTACTGCAACCAAAAGCAACCTTAAGCGCAGTTTGAAAAGAGTATAAATATAAATATGTATAATACAAATACATACAAAATAATACAAAATACAAAGTTTTGCACTCTACATGTTAGTAATTGTACTCCCTCCAAACTGAGCCTTAGCAACAAACAAGTATCATGATTTCAAATCCAACCAAGGGACAGCATTGGTTCACAGTCCATTTCAAATTACTCTTTTCATTCCCTTTCTGAAATCCTCATTTTTATTCTATCATTCCAAATTTTAGCCATAGATGAAGTTTACAGTTCAAGGCTGCTTTCTTAAACAAATAGACTAAATATAAATAATACATCCACTAACTTCTCATTATATATTTGTAAATTTTCGAGAACAATGGATTTGTATGTAAAACATCCAGTAGAGTCATCACACTTGGACACAGTATTAACTATCGTTTGATAATCATCCATATTCTTTTCTGGCCACGAACAAGAAATATATCCTGTGGTCTTTTTGGTTGGCAATCTATCTGAAGAATCTAAACCAAACCTCTTTTGGACGGTGTTTTCAATTATCTGTTAAAAATAAATTGTGAATGGTACTTCTGTTCATCTTTGTCAACATCAGCAATTCCTTTTATGTAACAAGGTTCTCTTAGCTTTCTCAAGATTCGCCCTGGATGACTTGTTCCAAACTTCCATGTTGACCAGTATTTAAAGAACCAGCAGTCAGTGTTCCAACAAAGTCTGCCCGTTGTTTGTCTAGCCTTAAAGCTCCACCTTCCAAGAGAACCTGGTCAGATAGTTCGCCCTACACTCATCCTGTTTCACACTTAAAGGCCTTCCAAGTCATTCAATGCTTTGGCATTTCTTCCATTGCCAGGTTTCTTCTATGTTTCAGTCCACAGAAAGCTTCACCAGCCGTAATATAGCAGACAAACAGGGGGTTAACTTGGAGATTGTCATCTGAGATATCTTACATCTACAAGATCACAACATCACACCTCCAAAATCATTAGCCATTTCATCTCTAGACCAATCAGTTCTATTTTCAAATATACTATTCATCTTCATTTATGATGTATCACTCCCAGAAGCACCTATATCTTGGGGCAGTGGTTGGTACAAACAAAGAGATTTAACAAAAACAGATAGAAGTTTGAGATAACTGCATCTGTAAGACATAAATTTACGCTACAATATCTTGAAAATCATCCATCATCCTCATTTGCAAACCGATCCTTTTGAGTTCCAAATGGATCTTATCAATCTCTGGATGAGATATGTCCCCACCTAAAAACAAGTGCACCTTATTTGCAATCTCGGTCCAACTATATCCCGGTTGCTTTTTAACTCCTTGCTCTTTCATCAAACTTCTTACTCTAGTAACATCCCTCCACATGCCAGTGGCTGCATATATATTTGACAACATTACATAAGCACAAGGATTCAGAGGCTCCAACTCCACAAGCTTCTCAGCTGCTAACTCTCCAAGTTCCACATTTAAATAAACCCGACAAGCGGAAAGAAGTGCACCCCAAACTCCAGAATCAGGTTCAAATGGCATTTGTTGGATAACCTCATAGGCCTTCTCCAACTGTCCTGCTCGACTCAACATATCAACCAGACATGCATAGTGCTCAGCTCTTGGTGTGATTCCATAATGGCTCACCATTGAATGAAACCAATATGTGCTCTCTTTCACCTTTCCTGCGTGGGCACATGCAGATAAGATACTAAGGAATGTTATGCCATCTGGCTTAAAGCCATTCAATTCCATCTCGCTGATCAAACCTAAAGCTTTCTCATAGTGGCCATGCTGTGCATACCCAGCTATAATGGTGTTCCACGAAACAAGGTCTGGGCTACTTATTTGTCCAAAAGCCAACTCTGAATCACATATGCTGCCACATTTGCTATACATAGTTATTAAAGCATTACATACAGAGATGTTTGACTCGAACCCACTTCTTACAACAAGAAGATGGATTTCTTTCCCTTCTTTTAATGATGCAAGACTTGAGCATGCAGTAAGAACTGAAACAAGGGTTGAATGATCTACTCTTACACCCATTTTAAGCATTGTATAAAGTAACTTGAGTGCTTCCTCACCATTACCATTTTGTGCATAGCCTGTGAAAAGTGAAGGAACTTTTTTTATCAGCTATGAAGGCATACAAATTTGTTTCATGAAACGTAAACCTGAATAAACTAACAAATTAGGTAGCTCTTTCCTGAGCTCCAAAATAACTTGGCCTGCTTGAAATAAATAGTCTTTTGCCTAAGAGTCATGGTGCTGCATATGCATTGAGAACATCCAAACAGCAGAATCAACCCAATTGGATTAACATAACCACAATAACGGCATCTATAGTAAATATTAAGAAGAAATTTTGCAAAAGAACATATCTACAGATTATTAAAATTCATCCAATGATATAAGTGTTTTTGTTTTCCTTAAGATATCCTACGTGAAAGAAAAATGAATATAAATTCCCTAGCCTACCATGGTTGCTAGTATGACATTAGGTCATTAGCTTATTATCCCCACAAACAAGCACTCAATATGCATTCATGTTGTAGATAGGTCAATTCATTTGTGCATACCTGCTATCATGGCATTCCAAGAGACAAGGTCCCTATGATGAAGTTCATTGAATAGGCTTCTTGCACCTTCCGTATTCCCTTCCTTGCAGTAACCCGTGATCATAGCAGTTATTACTACAACATTCTTTTCAGGCATCAGATCAAAGAGTTCCCTCGCTTCAGCAAATTTTCCATTCTCTACATAACCGCTGATCATTACCGTCCAAGAAACAGAATTTTTACGAGGCATGCGATTAAACAGAGCCCGAGCTCGCTCAATCTCCCCATTCTGTGCATACCCATCAATCATCGCAGTATAAGAAATCACATTCCTCCGAGGCATTTTTTCAAAAAGCCTTGTAGCTTCTTCGATATGACCGTATTTACCAAGACCAGATATCATCGCATTCCATGAGGCAGTATTTCTCTCGGTCATATTCTGAAAGTAGTAGAATGCCTCATCAATGCTCTCGTTCTCCACACAGCCTGCAATCATCGAATTCCATGAGACCACATTCCTCTTTGGCATCAGCTGAAATAATCTCTTTGATTCCTCGAATAAACCGTTTTGCCAGTAACCCGTAATGATAGCATTCCAGGAAACAACATCTCTCTCAGGCATTTTATCAAAGAGTTCTCGTGCAGCTTCAATTTTGCCGGAACGAGAGAGAGAGCCGATTTGGATATTGCATTCGTATATCTCTTGAGTGGAGACCGACCTAATGAATACTTGAAAAGACAGGCGGGAAGAGTAACTGTGAGAGGGATTGAAAAGGAGGGTCGAACGGATGAGAATTTGAATTTGAGGGAAGATGGAACTCCATTTACAAGAAGGTTGCTGGCAGAACAGGAGCATAGAGAATATAAGTGATTAGTGGTGAAACTTCCCTGAATATCGTTGAGTAACAGTGTATTGTGTATATGATACGAGAAACTTACGGACGCACAGTGGAACCTGAGTCTGAGAAGATATCCATTTTTATTGACTCTATTGCTCCTTCGCTGACGGTTGAATTATCAAGGGTAAATTACAAAAACCCCCACAAAGACCCCTGAATTTTGTTTTGCGATAAAGACTCTTCTGTTTGTTTTGCGATAAAGACGTCTTATAATATGATCGTGAGATAAAGATCTCCTTTCATTAGCTTTCTTAAAATCCGTCGTTATAATATTTTTTAATCCTCATATTACCCTTATAATAACTATTCGGATAATTGGAAAAAAAAAAAACTGTTCATCTTCCCACCTCATTATACACGAACAGCACTTGTAATAGCTACATGGATTCTCGCTTCCTTTCACCTGTTTTTGCCCATGTTTTCTCCAATTGTAACCATCATCCAATCTCCTTTGCTCCCTGAAAGGTTGAGAGTACTGATTATGATTCGACTGGAATCCACCGTGTTGCTCTGGGTGCTGTTGGCTTGGATGCTGGAAACCTCATGAGAGAAGTGCATCGGAGCATATTCAGATTTCACCATGGGCTTCACGGATGAGATATCGGCTTGGTGGGTTGAAAATTCCACTCTTGTTCTAGTCCTTTCGAGTTTTCGTCATGTCCAAGTTGGAACGAAATAAATAAGAAATTTTGAATAACTATCTATTTTATTTATAAAATGATCAAGAACTCAAAATGAAAATGATAAGAGGGATTCCCTCTGAACTCTGATCAGGAGAGGGAAATCAAATAAACATAGACAAGATAAAACAACACAACACGCGAAGATGGAAATTAATATATACCTTAGAAATCGTAGTGATAGAAGACTCAAACATGGATACCGAGCCCATAGCGGGCCTTGTTTGGGGTTGGAAAGAGAAATCCGACAAGTTTTTCTCTTCCTTCTTGACACCTTTCTGGTAGTTTACAGAATTACTCTTCCAATTGAACGCTTGAGAGGGAAGTGTCACAGTCGTAGCCTCGTAGGAGACTGCAGAAGCTGCTGATACACACCAAAAAAGAAATGCACTTGAAGTCAGAATTCTCTAAATAAATCAATTAATCAATCCAACACAGAGAAAAAAGATTAACTGAGTTACCCAACACAGACAGCAACACATGAAGATTTTAATTAATTAAAGAACAACAAATGGATTTCGAGTTTATTGATTCTAAGAAGACAAGAACAGAAGAACGTAGAAAAAGGAAAGAACGTTGATACAGATTAGTCGTACAAAAGAGAGGGGGAGAGAGAAGCGCGCAGTATTCATGGAAACTTGGAAATTAAGCAAGAGAGATGAAGCGTATACTTACATTAGAAGCGGAGAGGAGGACAGGTGAATCCAAGAGGCCGGGGGGGCTCAAGCCAGGTGGAATAGCGAAGTAAGAAGAAGGAGAGACAGGAGGAGGAAAGATGGGCAGTGAAGGAGGAGGAATCGACTTGAACTCTGGAACACTGGCTCCAGTTCTATTGGCGAAATGATCAGAAAGCCCTTTATCGACGTCACCGGCGAGAAGGTCGGAGAAAGAAGAAGTCATGAATTGGTTAGAGAATGAGAAGGGCGTTGGATGAGAATTCGCGTATGTCTGTAATCTCCCAGATGAAAGCCTTGAGAGAGAGGATGAAATGTGTGATGGGCGGTGAAACACCCTCTTGAAAGGAGAGTAAAAAGAAGTGCAAAATAATCACGTCCCCAAGGCCCAGTAAGAAGAGCTGTGTTCGTGAAGGAATATGAGATAGAAGGGATTACCAAGGAATTAAAAAATATTGACACTGTAGATTTTTACGAAAAGCTAATGAAAGTTTGTCACAGACCCATAGTATAGAGGGATTTTTGTGATTTACCCAATTATCAATTATCCTACAACCTGTCACGATTTATAAGCCTATATGTTCAAACTAGGGCTCTAATCCGCATCCGATCCATAGTATACATCCGAATTCGATTGGATTTAAAGACTTTGGTTCAAATCCGAATCCTAAGGGATTCAGATTGGATTCAGTGTTAATCCGATTCTGCTACAAAGTTTTTTAAAATATTGAAAATTTATTATTTACATAAATTCACATATAATATAATATATAGAATATATTATTATAATTTTAAACATAATTATATAAAACTTTTATATTAAAATTAATAAATGTTATATTATAATCAAATTGAATGGAGTCAAATCCGAATCCAATATAATTATTAATATATATTGTAATATTCAAATCCAATCCAATTACATATATACATCATCTGAATCAGATCGAATCTTGAATTTTCGGGTACCATTGACAGCCCTAATTCAAACTTTAAACACTTTCTGGACTCTTTTTCTGGGGTTGATCAGAGAGAAAAGTCAGCGTAGGCAAGAATTTCTGACATGTGTCGTCCAGAAAAAGATGAAAGTAAACCCCTGAGAAAAAAAAGGATCTTACTGATCCAACTTATCTGGATTTGAGTGTTCTTAATCAGCATTAACTTTCCTACGACGAGTTCAGCATCTAATCGATGATTCTACTCAATCCCTTTATGGATGTCGTTTCGTTCTCGCGGAATCTTCTCTGCGTTTGGTTTCAGTCTAAATACAGATCGGTGTAAAATTTACCCTTGGTATTTTTACGTGTCTGTTTTTAGTATAAGTTTTTCATCAATTATCATATTTTAAAAAAAATCCAATAGTTTATTCATTTTAAACCATTGGTGTTGAACTCAATAATGTACTTTTACATGGATGACTGTTTACACCCAAAAAAAGGCAGCCTAAGGAGATAAACGAGTGCATAATTGCTTTGTAAGATAATGTGCGATTAGGAAGCTTCTCCATGCCATTTCCAGGAAGCATTAGTAATTGTTTAAGTGCAAGTTGCTAATGCATGCTCGTAAATTTGGAATCAATATCTTTCTCAATTGGATTGTCCTCTCTACACATTCCTATATTATTACTTAGGCCTCSTTAGGTTATAATTTTGTAATTTATTTAGATAAGTGTATTTATCTATGTAAATCCATTTATTCATGGTCTTTTGATTTTTAAGATTTTTAGGCAAGTAATAGTATGACATTTTTACCCTTAAAAAATTAATATTAAAATGGGCAAAATTGTCCATTAAATTTTATAAAATTTTCCCTGAATGGGAAAGTTATTTTTCCACGGGAGATGGATAAGTTTTACCCAAGGAAGTAGAATAGGGGCCCATTATTAAATGCAAAAAAAAAAAGAAACATTATAAATTTAGTCAATAAAAAAAGATACCCATTAACCAACTTCTGCCCCCTCTCCATTTACAACGAACAGAAGAGGGCCTTAGTGTAACAAGCAACAGTAGAGATAAAAGTTGGTGTCATATAAATCAATTTAACTTCTAAGGTAAGTTACATATTACTTCCCTTAGTTTGGGTAGTGGCAATTACTTTCATTTGCAAGGCCCTTCTTCGTTGAGTGATGGAAAAAGTTAGGGAGAATGACAATTTAGCCCAGGGTCAGAATTCATAGGCACAAAGTACAGTTAGGGTAATTGACCTTTTGAAATGTTGTAGATCTGGAGTGGAAATCAAAATTCTGCAATGGGTCTGTCCGTACTTCTCCAAAAAAGTTAATTAGTCAAAATACTGTTTTAGAAACTTCTATAAAATGGAAATTGTAACAAAAAACTAATGAAATTCTATGAAAGTGTAGAATTGAAATAAACACAACATGCAATTAATATCAACTAAATCAGTAACAAATGAAAATTAAAAAAAGAAAACAAAAAATCATTGAAAAAAGGGTTAATTTAAAGATTTGGAAATGTTAAAAAGTTGCAAGAGAATCTTTTTTTCAAATTAACTTAGAGTATTAAAAGAGGGGGTCTTTGCTGAAATTTGAAAGTCCAACGGGGCTTTTGTTGAAATGAAAGTTTAAAGGGGATAATTGCCACCACTGACCACCCCCAAAGCACTGGAAAAACTTTGGCTGCCCCCGACACCCGTCGCCTATCAACCTCCATATGACGTGTGTCTAACAGTCTAAGACCATTATAATCTAGGGGTTTTTATCATGGTTTTTAAAATCGATCTGGAGATCGAATCAATCAGGGGTTCAGTTATCGGGTCAAACGGTCTGATCATTCAAATCAAATGTTTGGACCATTTTAATAAAAAAATAAAAAATGATCAAAAAATCGTTCGAACGATTAATCACCTGATTCAGCAGTTTTCTGACCAAAATCAATGATTTTGAGAGAAAATCCGATTTTTAGAAAAAAACTGAATCAATCACCTAACCGATTCCCGGTTTTTCCAGTCCCATCCGGTTAAAACCATGGTTTTTACAGTTCAGTCCAAAGTCCCTATAATTAATTAATTCTAACCGGAGCTAAAAATGCCCTATACTCCCATTACAAATGAAAATAGTTTATTCTAATATTTTTACCAAAAAAATCTGATTTTTTAAAATATCAGAGTGAAACAGTCTTGCCCACTCTGCTCTCTCTCTCTAGCCATTACCTTCGATCGGAGTTTTGGACGGTGTTTGCCACCTGACCTCATTCTAGTCATGAAAGAGTTTGATGACCAGATCTTCAGCTCTTTAGTGGGACATTAGTTGGAGTTGCAGACTTCGGAGGTGGTGTTGGAGTTGTAGATCAACATTCTAGGTTCCATATATAGTGGATTGTTAGTAGGAAGGATAGATAACCGGATTTGCACTTCCCTCTGGGTTGCTCTGTGTCTGACATGGTTTAGTATTAACTCTGGTATCACTTTCATGGACCCAATTGTTCTTTCAACAGAAAACTCCACTCGAATTATTGACTAATAACTTGTGAAGATTTTTCTCTTTTTACTGTTTTAACTCCTCATTTCTAACTCTCTTTTTTTAATCATTCTCTCTCTCTCTCTGTCCATCATATTACAATTTGTCTTGTCTTTTCATATCTCCAATGTCTTAATACTTCTTACATGGTTGAAGACATCGTTGAGTGAAACATGTCTTGTTCTAGGTGTGCCTCTCCATAAACCCAGGTTGAGATTTTTTTTCTTCTTACCTAAGTTCTCTTCTTACTGTAATTTTGAAATGCTTTCATTTTTTTCGTTTTTCGGTTGAATTCTTCCCTACCTTTGGAGGTGCATTTGCTCTATGGTCTTTTTGCAATCTATTTGTAGCAACAAAGAGATGTAGGTAACCCTTATAGATTTTGCGTTTCTCTATCTTGGCTTTGATCTCTTAGGTCATCTATCCGATTAGCTGCTTTTCATTTTCATCGATAGGTGCAAATAATCTGGTGATTTGTCCCTCTTATTGTATTTTCGTATTCTGTTTTAATAAATAAGATTTTATTTTAGCAAATAAAAAAATCACGCATGGTCATCTATTTAGACAATGGTGATGGTGGCTGATCTGATGCGAGTTAGGGAAGAGCTGAGGAGGAGATGAGGAAGAAAAGGGCAAATAGGAGAGATGAACAGGGCGAAATCAAAAACCATTGGGAAAAGATTTTACAAAATAAAAAAAAAAATATCTTTTATTTCAAACAAACAGATTTAGGGTTTGGTTAGTGAAACGTTAAGTTGAAAATAAATTAAACACGTGTCATACAGAATTTGATAAGCGACAGAAATTCTTGTCACCTGTCGACAGCCAAAATTTTCTCCGTAATAATCTATAATTTATCCTAATTTTTATGGTATGCACTAAAACTAAGACAATTATCCTCTTTATGATAATATAGATTTGCAAATCCCCAAATAAAATATCTGGCTACATGTGTTCAATCAAAGGCATTTTATACATTAATTTTAGAGAGTCTAGATTTTAGGATTTACGGTTTGGTCGTTAGGTGCTAGTGTTGCTAAGCCAAAATGTGAACGGAAAAGCAATGGAATTTCTTAAAAAAGTGACCAATCCACGGAGCCCACGGGTAGTATAGGGGGGCCACAAACACAATATTCATTTTAATCTTATATATATTTTGGTCCTCCTACCTATATTTATTAATTTTTGGCCCCTCCATCTATGTTTATTATTTTTTAGCCTCCTTCAAAAAAAATCCTAACTCCGCTCCTACGGGATAGAGACATTCATAAAGGAGGTGTTCTCCTTTAGAATGGCAAAAAAAATTAAAAATAAAAACAAAATTTATAGTTGAGGTGTATTACGAGACCTGTTCATGGGTCGGGCCGGGCTTTTACTGTGTATTAACAAATTTTTTTAAGGCTCGAGCCCGAGCCCGAGCCCGACCCGACCATCAGGCCTATAATTTGGGCCCGAGCCCGGCCCTCATAAAATGCCCGAAGCCCGAGCCTGGGCCCGGGCCCGAAATTTAGCCTATATTATTATTATTATTAATGTTGAAGCAGCTGAATAAAGA